TTATTAAGTTTACGTATAAGAGACTATTCTATAATAAGAAAAAAAGTAAGTATCTATAAAAGCTTAAGTATAATACTTTAAAGTTTTATAGATTAGTATATACTATTTAATAGCTACTTAAACTATCTAAATTATAATTTAAGTACCTTCTTAAATATATTCTAGAATTTATTTATAGTTAAAAACTTATATACTATCTATACTATAGTAATATTAATAGAGTTATTAATCTAGAGATAGATACTAAAAATAAGTAGTTATTTTAGTATTTTCTAATAGATAGATTTACTAAGGCTAAAATACTACGTTTACGTAACTAATAGAGCTAGTATATATTAATTTAAGGCTACTTAAAAGGCCTAGCGTAGTAAATAAAGATTACTCTTCTACTTTAAATAAGGTAAAGACTAAGCTAACTCTACTAGTAGTATAGAATTTCTATAACTAGATACTATCTTCTAAGAGACTACCTAAAAGGTAAAGAGAGAAGTTTATAGATAGCGCTTTAGGCCTAATTAAGTTAACTATTATAGTCTTAACTAAGCTAGTTAAATAGAATTCTCTATCTTAGATATTATATAAGTATAAGTTTAATACCTTCTACTTTAGAATTAATATTACTTTACTTCTTATACTTATCTCTTAAGTAGAGTTACTTACTAGTAATATATTTAAGCTAACTATTAAAAATATTAAAGAAGTTACCTAAATAGACTAAGTTAGTAGTAATATTTTTTTAACGTAGCTACTATACTTATAAATAGTACTATTTATTATAGTTCTAGTCTCTAATAGTCTAGTACTATAATATACCTCTAGACGTAACTATCTATAAAATATATTATAAAATTACTTCTTTTTAGTAATATATCTAAATCTAAGTATATCTATATAGAAAAATATCTACTTAGAATTCTAATAGATTAAAACTAACTCTATATCTTTTCTAGTACTTCTAAGATATTTAAAATCTTAGTTATTTCTCTTTTTATAGATTCTAAACGCTCTAGTACCTTTAGTATTAATTAATACTAAGATAGTTTTAGTAGAAGCTTTTTTAATAAGTTAAGTTAGAGATCTCTCTTTCTATTTTAATAGCTTATAGCTACTATATTCTATCTATAGAGTAATTAGTATATATATTCTCTATTACTACTCTTTATTACTAACTCTTTCTTTATAAAACTCTAAAATTCTATTTTTATCTTTCTCTAGTACTATAATTCTTTTAACTTTTATTACTATTAATTCTACTCGAATAGAGAATAGTTTATCTTAGATTATAGGCTTTAATCTATACAAGTATATTACGTATAGATATTTACTTAAAAAGTAGTTACTAAAAAGAATATTTATTAAATTTAGATAGAAGTATTAAGATAATAATATTTATAGATATTAACTAAAATATTTTTACTAGAATGTTTAAGCCTTTTATATACTTAGCTAAATACAGCTATTACTACCTAAGTATAATTATCTAATCTACTATTATTATAAGAAGTAAGCTACTACTACTATATTATATTAAACTTATAATAATCTACTAAACACTTAATAATTATAAGTAAGTATACATAGAACTATAGAATAATTACTAACTACTACTAGCTATTTTTAGCCTCTTTACTATAAATACTATTACGTTATAGCTACTAAATAGTTATCTTTATAATAAAATAACTAAGGTAGAAGACTATTATAAATCTTCTTATTCTAATTTAGATAACTATAAGTTCTTTAAGAGTAAGGTAATACACTCTAGCTTTTATAGAAAACTTATTAACTTTTACTAGTAAAGTAGTAGCTAAAATTTTAAGTAGTAATCTAAAGGTAGATATTAGGTATTCTTTAATATGTAAGATTTACGATAGAGAAATAGAATATATCTAGAATAATAAATAATTCGATTCTAATAAAACTAAGAGCTACTTATACTACTTAATACTAAGTCTTATACTATTATTAGTTTATATATACCTTTAAATTCTATAATAGTCTTTAACTATTTTACCTAGCTAGATATATTATTATAAAGAGTACTTATAGCGCTAGAGCTCTATCTTAGATAAGTAATTAGATAGACTATAGCTTTACCTATACTATATTAGTAATAAATACTAGAAAGCGTAGCTTAGAAATTCTTATCTAGAGTACTAGCTTCTATAACCTTTAGTAGAGTAGGTATAGCTAATAAGAGGTACGATTCTAGATATAACTTAGAAAACCTTACCTAAGTAGGCACGACAACTATTTCTTAGCTAGAGTTTAGTAATTAAGTAATCTTTAATAAATTAGCTAATTGTACTACTATAACTAAGTTCTTATAAATAACTAGTTTAAATTATATTAACGTTTTCTACTTAACTTAGTTATTCTTTTCTTTAGAGTATAGAATATATATATATATATATAAGTTAGACTACTTAACTACGTTTTCGTATTTATAGTTGTTATTCTTAAATTAGTCTTAAAATTACGGCTCTAGTTATTGGGCGGCTGCTTAATATTTAGCCTAATTAACGATTAAAAGGTAAGAAAATATTCGATTACTCTAATAACTTAGTAAACTAGAAGTTAAATAATAGCTTATTATAGAAATTACGCTTATAGATTAGAGAGTTAGAAGCTAAATTATTCTACCGCATTTAGGTTCGAATATAGCTTGCGAAAAAAATAATCTCTTAAAGAATTAAGTCTTAGGTCTAACTATTCCGCCTTAACAAGAGAAATAAATAGTAAACTATAGAGATACGTTAACTATATATTTCTACTTTAGAAGATATATTATCTATCTATAAGAGTTAGAATAACTTAGCTAGCGGCGACGATTAAGGTTATATATTAATTTAATATAGAGTTTATTAGAGGTTATATTAGTTAGCTATATTAGGTTTTTCGAAAAGAGTCTATTAGCCTACGCTTATAGAGTATAAGAACCGCTATTTATTTCTCGAGAATAGTACCTATAAGTGTATCTTCTATACCTTTTCTATTAACTTACTTACTTAAAGCATTCTCTACTATAGCTTTACTTAGCAACGCTAGCTCTACCTACGTTTAATCTTTCTTATTCGATTAGATCTCTCTTCTAGAGTTCTTCTTTCTCGGCCTTGCCCCTATAACCTCTCTAGCTTAGTCTCTTCTTACTAGTAGCCTAAGTATCTATAGTCGAGTACTCTACACCTATAGTTTACTTCTATTATTTAGAAAGTATACTTTAGAATATTTAGAGAAATTACTAGAAATCTACTATTATTAGTATATTTACTCTTAGTAACTATATTAACTCTTAACATACCTATAGCGTTAAAGATTAAGGTACTCTATGCTAACGAGGCTTATAATATACTTATTTTCTAGGTCTTCTTCTAGCCTTTTACGTAATTAGCACGTACTTCTCTTACTAGAATTAATCTTAAATTATTCGCGGTATCTAGATTACATACTAAGAAAAAGCTATTATACTATTCTCTCTATAATAGCTGCTTATATTTCTAGTATAAACACTATCTATTAGTATTTTACTACTAAAGAACTTAAGAAGAGTTTAGTATAATAAGAGAGAAAGCCTATATTTTATACTTTAGGCGTAATTCTACCGTTCTCTAGAAGCTTCTAAATAACTACTAACGGTACTATCTAAAGTTAGTTAAGAATAAAACTTCTATCTTTAAGTACTAAGAAGATAGGTAGAAGACTTCTAAGTTAATAGCTAAGAGAGAGATATTAACTATAATTATTAACTAGAAGCTTAAAGAGATATTACTAGACAATATAACTAAGTTTCTAAACTCTAAAACTAGAAGTTAGTACTCTAGACGTAGTCTCTCTTATTAATAAGAGTACTTACTTTATAAACTACCTAGAACTAGAAAATCTAGCCTTTACCTTTCTATTATAGAGTACTTTAATTTAGACGTTTACGTTCTTACTATATCTAGTTTAGACGATTACTTTCTAAAATTTCTTTTTGCTAAGCTCTCGTAGTACTACATTGTTCTTCTTAAGAATGTTAACGTAACTACTATGCATCGAAAACCTAAAGGTAGTATAGACGTAAGCCTAAGCGTAGACTAAAAAGGCTCTTCTAATTAAAAGGTATCTCTATTAATACTTCTTAATATTCTAGATAGTCTAGTATTACCTAAAGATAGATTATTAATTATAATAACTAACTATATTAAGTGCCTAGATCTAGCACTTATACGTTCTAGCCGTGTAGATATAAAGGTAGAGCTCTACCTAGCTAATAAAGATATAATTAATTAGCTATTCTATTTCGTCTATAACCTACTCTTAAAGACTAATATTCGCGACAACAAATCGAAGACGGCTCTCTCTTAACCTAGAGAAGAAGGGGCTATAGAGAACTACAAGTTGCTTTATTTAGAACAAGAGTTTGTGGCGAAGGTGCTAAAGCTAGAATTTAGTCTAGCTAAGATCTTGTTATTTTTACTAGCGAATAAGCATTTACCCTACCATGCTATTGCTAATGTAGCGGCGTAGATAGAGAAGCTTAGAGAGAAGAGGACGAAATTAACTAGAACAATGTTATAGGCGCTTAATAACAATAATTACTAATCGGCTTTTTCTACTATAGAGTTATGTTTAGAGGGTTTAGAGCGATGCACTAGGTAGGGCTATTTCTTTTAAGCCTGTTATTCTCTCTAGCTGTTTTAATTAATTATATGTAAATGCCTTCTCTCTATAGCTCGAATAAGAAACGTTTTCTTATCTCTCTACCTCGTTTAACTAAGCCCGTGCTGTCCAAAGTATCTCTTTTATCTCGTGCATCTAATCGGCTCTATGAGAGCGATACTTTGTGATAATTACGTCTACTTGTCCTTCTGCTCTAATTTCTCTAAACTTTCTACATCCTTCTGCGCGTTCCGAAGAATCTCCTTTATCCGAAAATAGAGTGTCCTGTCTTCGTTCTCCTACGGATTGTTTATTGGGAAAATAACCCTTCGCAACCTATTAACATGTGGAATCAATAGCTAATAGTATAGCGTGAAGGCATTAGTTATCCGGTTTAGGAAATGTCTTTCTCTACTAACTAGCCCTAATTTTAATTCCGCTAGCTTCTGGTCACTCTCATAGTTCTAGCACTTAAATTCAGTTGCCCTAATATCTTTGCCTGGCCCGTCATAGTAAACGCATATCCAAAATAGTACCTAGAAGAACGACTCTAGATCGTGCATAAACGAGTGGTTTTTGTTGTCTAGAAGTACTCTAATCGCCATAAACGCTCGCGTGCTGGTCTTCCCCCGTGCCTCTAAGGATTTCTCTTGCTGCTCTTTGATTGCAAGGTTAAGATTAATTAAGAACGCGTGCTAGGAGGGGTTGTTATCTTCTTCGTTTACAATAAGGTTGTTTGGTGAGATATCATATTGTAGCACACCAGCTCGTGTGTGTAGCGACTCGTATCTGTTAATATAGCCTTCTAACGCAGCTAGAAGGCTTACTCTAGAGCTCGCCTTGTAAATAGGTTTCCTATAGTCTTGGACAATAACGCGGCGATGCACTCGATTCGCTGTCGCCCTGCTACCCTTTACTAGAGAGGTCGAACAGGTTTGCTTGCTTGGGGGCAACAGCGCACCCGTGCAACTTAAGGACTGTTTCCGCCCTGCGGCGCTGCTGCTTTGGCCTTTTCGCGAGATGCGACGTCTAGCCAAGCTTAGGGGGGCTATTAAGCTTTCTAGCTTGCAGTTTTTTGCTTGCGTTATGTCTAAACCTCGTCGCACGTTACTGCGGATGTCGTCGTCTTAGCTGCCCACGCAGACTGTTTTATGGTAATAGTATCTCGCGACGTTGACTACACCATTGTTAGTTGCCTTGCGCAGCAGCTCTCCCTCCTCCTTGCGTTCCAGAAACTGCCATAAGTCTTTGACAACAAGGGGTGATCGCGATTCATCTCCCTCGCGATGCACTTTCCAGCAGGTTGTGGCTCGGCCGACGACGCAGCGCGATTGTTTCATGACCTTATCGATGATAAGGCGTTCCTTCTGATTGCTTCTTTCGATCTTGATGTATCGAACGTCTCCGTCTGTAATAATAGAAGGGTTAAATCTAAGCTACTCCTTATTTAGCTAGAGAAATCTAAGCACCGCCGATACGAATTGTAGCCCGTCTTTATTAATATCAAACTAGGTAGAGGCGATACCCTTAAGCTGGTCGAACTCCCACAACCGCATGAGCGAACCGCAGAGAGTAAAGCCAAGGACGAAGCGACGGCCGTCTTAAGCTGCGAGAACCTCTCTCGCATATCGCCCTAGATCTAGCCATGCTTTAGAGGCTATGTCGGCTGATAGATTGCTCTTTAGTTCTCCTGGCACGAGAATCTGCTTCTAGTAGCATTTAGAGTCCACGCTAGCGCTTAGGTCGTCTACAAAGCCGACATCCAACTTGCGATTGGCCGTGGAGCCTTGCACGGGCTGGTAGAGTTGTGCCAGCGGCCGTCGTCGAGCCTCAGAGGCGGGCTAATACTCTTTCGCGAAGTTCGAGAACTAAGCCGTACGCTCTGCGAACCAGCTCAGGACATTTTTTCTTCGCGCCTTCAGGCTAGTCCTGCCAGCCGCTCTCATCCCGGTAGAGCGGATTATCTTCTGCTTTGCACCTTTTGAATACCGTCCGCGCTGCCGGCTCTGCGATTTCGCCGAAGAAGGCTTCGAAGAAGCTAGGAATATCAACGTGCATGGGCCCCAGCTCCTCCTTTAAAACTTTATCTACGTATTTGCGGTGTTCGGTCGAGTTTGCGAAGCTACTCGTGTTGCGTAGCCATGGCGTTTGTGGGAAGGATGATGCGGGACGAGGTGGAGGGGTCGACTCGGTGACAGCGTCGTATACCCTATCCCAGATGACCTCGTCGGGTTCCTTGTTGAGGACAGCTCCCAACAGAGGCTTGATCCGTGCAGTGTCATGATTGCCGGAGAAAATCGCTGAGTTCAGCGACAACAGATCATTGAATAGGGCTGTATTACCACGTTTTGATGGTAGCAATCTGGAGGCGGGGAGACTTTGCAAAGCAAGCATCAGATCAACGAGGATATTGATTTCCCCTATTAGCATTAAAGTGTATTCGCACATGGGTTTGAATGATTATTACCTTCATCGCCTTCGTTCCCTTTGTCTATATCTTTTGAATTCGAAGTATGAGTTTCGCGAAAGCCATCTAACCCTTTCCCTATCGGTTTGGACTGGAGTATTTCCGATCGGGACAGCGTTGTCATCGTTGGCAGAGGCGTAGGCCGTGGTTAGGTTGCGCGGACGAAGTCACATTTGCGAGATTTTGTAGGAATAAGTATGGTGAAAGCATAGGTAAATGGAGATGAAGTACGTTGTGGGAAGGATGTTGAGAAGGACAGCAGAAGGAGCGGAGGCGCGACAACGCGTGGGTCAGGAGGCTGGTCCGGAGTAACATCGGCACCCAGCGTCGGCTTGCGGGATCTGCCGAACACCGACGAAGGCCAAAGCTCCTCTCCACTGACTCCAAAACTGGACGGCGCCTTGACCGAAAGGCCGACTTCACCCTCTCGTACTCGCACGAAACGTCTGACCTTGCCGCTCTCTACGCCCGCTTACCGCCTCGGAACTCCCAGTCATGTGTCGGACGCTTTCACTAAGACGACTGCCCTCTTCAGCGGCATTGAGGCTAAGCCTGCGGATGGCGACAAGTCGGAGGTAGAATACCAGATCAGCATATGGATGGGCGCAAGCCTGCGGAAGAAGGCAGAGCTTGCTCGGATGGCTGGCCTGTCGGACATCACGTCGGCACTCATCGAGCCCGCCTTCGTGGTGGTAGGCCATGAGTGGTACTTCTACCTCGTGTATCTGCAACCCACTGGCGCGGTTCATGTGCTTGAACACGGCTCCTGCTCAACCAACAGCGTTTCAGGGGTGTTCAAGATCCTTAGGGTATTGAGGAATGTGATCGAGTATGGGCTGGAGGGTTTCGAAAGGGGGACCGGAAGCGAAGGTTGGATACTGGGGTGGCTTCTTGGGACCGGTGCTCGAGAATGCAAGTGCTGCGACCCCTGGAGACGAGGTCACATGGATAGGAAGTACCGCGGCGTCGCATGTTACTATTTGACGATAGGTGCGGAGCCGGGCTTGACTACTTGCATGAACCGTGGAGAACAATACATCTTGTATTAAGAGTCGTGCGAGCTGTAGAGTCTTATCAGTGCATCTTGGTCCGTGCGTGTTCGTGGGACGTAAGGCACGTGACATGTCATGTGACGAGGCTGTGCAATAACTAGCTTGCCCCGCACAACAAAGCTTCATTGCATTATTTTATCAAACATCAACCACCTCCTATTACATCCCTTATCTTTTAAGTACAATGTGTGAATGGGCTTGCAGGACCTACGCATCTTGTCGACGTAATCCTAAACACGAGATCCGCCACCATATTAATCAATGTCAAAATGCAACTCAAAACAACAACACGCCCTGCATCCCGGCAAGTGGACATCAGAGGGATTTACCGCTTGTCCGCGACATTCAGGATACGAACATAGCTGGAGATTGTCCTGTTTGTGAAGGGAACACGCCGGCTAATTCGTCTGACTGATACCGGTACGTTCGTCCGTCCCCCAAGGCGTATCTAGAGATCGCGGTCGAGCCTGCTTACGGCCTACATCTCCAAGATCCGTGAATGTACTAGATTAAAGTTGAATTAGCCAGCGTAATAATTAAGGTCAGGAGAAACCGAACGTACAATGGCTCCTTCTTGGAGACTTTGAAAATTTGAAGTTCCAGCTGGCTGAGGTTGATATCTGGGATTGTTTTGCAGTGGAGATCGATGACAAAGAACAAATAAGAAGGCGAAGACGGCTCAAACAATATATGTGTAAAGAGATCCTTGTCTAGATCGAGACCTTGTGAATCGAAAAAGGCTTTGAGCATCTCATTCTGAGTCTTCCAATGTCGCTCGGGACATTTAAGAACGATGCGTTTCGGAGCGGCGTGGCTCATTGTAGTAGAAGGCGAGAATTGCAGGTGTGGTGAATTTGAGCTAGGGGAGAGCGGGAATGTAAGAGGCTATCGAGCGAGCGGCTGAGCCCCTGGCCTTAGCGCCGATGGTCACGTGCCACAGCAGGCTGGTCGCTGTCCCGTGTTCCTCCGCCAAGGCGCCGATCACAGAGCCGTGCCAGGGCAGGGATGACTCAGCTGTCCGAAGGATCTCTTTCATCTCATCGTACAGCTTCGAATTTGGGTACCCTCTACCTTCCGCCTCCTAATGAAACTGTGTCAACACTCTTTTCGCTAGAGATCGTGCATTTGTTTTTAGAGATGGAGCCCGAATGGCTCCGCTGATAATTAGTTAAAAGGCGCTTGTTAAAATTAGAACAGTCATGTCACTCTTAGACTGCAGGGACGAGGGTGTGTGATGACGTCGGAGCCAACTCGCGCTACGGCAACTGCACGACGCCTGGATCGAGCTCCAAGCGCTGCCAAACTACTGTAAATAGAACCAAAACAAATAAGATGCGTCTGGTCTCCCACAACCTTCGCATCCACCCATTATGAGCAGCATCTAGCCCAAGGCATTTAGCTAGCGTTTGTCCTTTGGTTCACTATCTGCTATCGCTCCGAAGCGCGCCAAGACAGCTACTGTCAACGAACCAACCTAGACATCCTACTATTATCGCCATGGCCGAACAATCGCCCGATTACAAGAAGCTGTTTCTCGAAGAACAACGCAGGCGTGAAGAGGAGCAACGCAGGCGTGAAGAGGGGCAACGCAGGCGCGAAGCCGCGGAGCAGGCGCAGAAGGAAGAACAACACAGGCGCGAAGAGGAGCAACGCAGGCGCGAAGAGGAACAACGCAAGCGCGAAGCGGCGGAGCAGGCGCAGGATAGGGCCGAAGAGAAAACCCGCAAGACGACTCTTCCGGAGTTCCTTGACGCCTGCCACACTTATCTACACTCCGGTCTCACCGTGCAGACTGATACGACCTTGTCGACGCGGGGCGACCCTGCGAATGCGACTAACAAGCTTGGACCCGAAAATCTCGTTCTATGGGAGGACTTCCCAGCACAGCAGGCAGCGGTCTGGGACGTTCTTATGGCATCGGACTTCGCCTCGGAGCGACACTTCACATCGCTGCACACGTTGGAAGAATCTGGGCAAGCGATCCTGCGCAAGATGATGAGTTCCGAGCTAGATCTCCATCTCTTTCAGCGTTCCGCCGTAGACGACCCTGTCACGTCTATTATCGAACGATTAGTACGATGCGTCCAACTTCAAAAATAGCCCGCACAAGCTCCGTGATTTTCACACGGCCAACCCTACCCGCCCAGGGCCTCCAAAAAGGCTGGATTGGTGGGTACAGTGTTGGGAGGAGGACAGATAACGTGTACAGGTGCACAATCATAAAAGGAAAACGAATGCTGGTGCGACTTTTCTTTTCTGAGTAGATTCCTTCCTTTTGATATGCTATCAGGAAAATACAGACTTGCTCTCTTCTGAAAGAGCTTGAATCACCTCTTCTGCACTGTCGAAATATTCGTTCCAACAGCCCATGATGATCCGACCACATGCAACTGATTCTACCCTAGGAAAGTCCCCTCTTGCATAACATGCTGATACCTCATTCTCTGATAAGGCATCGTACGGCTCGCGGCCTGACATGATGTAATATATGGCTGAACCCAGTGCAAAAAGATCCGACTTCACATTCGGAGTAGCGAGGGGATCTCGTGGAAGAAAGAATCGGGTGCTTTCCATAGCGGCTCCGTCCAAGTCGCCGAATAGAGAGCCGGAAAAATCGCAAAGCCGAAGATCAAGCTGATCATCGAGCAGGAAGTTATTTGGATGAATATCGCAGTGCACAACGCCTCGAGAGTGAACTGTAACCAGAGCTTCCGTTGCTTGTATTGACCATTTGAATCGAAGCTGAAGCGGGATACTAGCAGGCTCGGTGGCAGACACGTAGCGCCGGACATCGCCATTTACTGCAAATTGAAAGCGGAGGCCGTGCTTTTCCCTCCCCAAGTACTTGACAAGTCTTTCATGGTCTCCCAGGGCTAAGAGAATGCAATGCTCGATGTCGAGAGTTTTCTTTGCGTAGCGGTCGTGTCTGTCCGAAGGGAATTTGAGCACCGAATTATCTGGGAGCAAGCCCAAGCAGGCTGTATTGCCACCTGAGAGAACTCTCAACACGCCAGGAGGGATCCACGGCTCAAGGCATCTGACCGATGTTGTTGGATCTAATGGATCGACGTGGAACTTCCCGTCGAAGGGCACCGGCGTCCCATCTGAAAAATTGGCAAAAGGCTCCCGCATAGTACGCATAACGTTAACCTGGGGGGGGGAATTCGCAGTTGGATCGTTGAGGGCTTCGTCTCAGTGTCCGATCACGGCTCCGCGATCTGCGCCGAGTGTGCACGCTTATATAATATAGTTGCCTAACTCAGCTCTTATCCGTGCTAAGGCTTAGCTTACAAAGCAAGCTAAGTCAGCGAGCTGACACTCGCCGCAGGCGAGTGCTAACACTCTTAACAATATTACTATCTTAATAATATTTTTTAAATAGTTTCTATTAACTATTAAAATAACTTACTAACTATACTAGTTCTTATATTAATTTTTATATACTAGTAATTCTATAGTACGTATTAATATCTATATACGTTATAGTTAATTATATACTAGCTAATAAGCTTAAAAATACTACTTCTTTTTTCTAATTAGTATTTTTTTTTTCTTCTATATTCTATTTTAAGTTACTTTAACTTAGATACTAGCTTGTTTTACACTATCTTTTGTGCTAAATAGAAGTAGATAGTATCTATTAATAATTTTAGAAGAGTATAGGTACGCTATTAGCGTAATTAGTATAATTATATAATTAAAGTTATTATACGCAGTTTACTAATTACTTAATCTTTAGTAATAAATATATTATACGCTCTAAATAGTATACGCTTAACGTTTTTACTTATCTTTTTATTATTAAGATAATAATTAATATTCTACTTAAGCGTATAGATTATTAGATAAGTATTTAACTCTAGTAATAGTAGTATTATCTTTTTAGTAGTACTATTACTATTACTATTACTATTATAGTTACTCTAGTATTTAATATTAAACTTAGTAATATTCTTCTATATATTCTCTTTAATATACTTAGTATCTAGTAGATATAGCTCTAAATTATACTATCTTTTTTAGATTATATAACTCTTAAATATAAATATATAAATTAACTTAATAGTAGTAAAGAACTTAACTTTATTAAATACTATATAGCTAGTTTAAGTTATATAATTAATTATCTACGTATACTAGTACTTATATAGCTAGAAATAGCTAATATTAAGTAGTTAAAAAAAGTAAGATATATATAGAGAGAGGTAATATATAATTACTTTATAGTTTTCTAGAACTTCTAGAAACTCTTAGATATAGTATAAATTAAAGCTATTAAATAAGAGTAGTTAATATACGCCTTAAAAGTATTTCTAACTCTTTTATATAAAGTACCTTACCTATTTAAAACTTAATTTATTATTTATATAACTACTAGTACTATAAGTAACTAGATAGTTATTAAGTAAATTAGTAAAGTATTACTCTAGAAGTATAATATCTTTAATAATAATTATTAGCGTAATAGTATAGCTGTAAGGGCTAGGTTCGCGATCTCTACTACTATAAGCGCCTCTAGAACACCTAGCTAGGTAAGTCGGCTGTAGGTAGCACTGTCTCCACGAGCTGTAAGGATAAGGGGTGCTAGCAGGGTAGGTTAGGTTAAATTCAGCTATCTAAAGGTAAGAAGTAGAGAAAAGGCTTCGAGAGGCTCTATATACAGAGGTGCCGAGCGCTAAGGCGCTAGGCTAGGTTACGTAATAGGATTACGTAACCCGAGGTTATGTAACCTAAGGTAAATTCTAAACTAGACTATTATAATAGCCTTTAGTATTAATATATTTAGTTATTATTATTATTATTATATAATTATTAAAAGTTAGTAGATAGACGTAGTAATAGAGTTTAAAAGTAATTACTTATTACTCTTTTCTAACTCTAATTTAAAAGCTAGTTTTATTAAAGTTCTAAATATCTATTAGTATAATCTTATACATTTTTATTAGATTAATAAAGCTATTAAACTACTTAAGAATAGCTTCTATATTATATATAAGTACGCGATTAAGGTTAAGAGATTATTACTATTAAATATAAAGCTTAGAGTAACGTTTAAGCTAATTCTTTACCTATTATAAGTTTACTAAAAAAGATAAGTCTAAGCTATTATAACCTTGTTAAAGAAGATAATTAGTATATAATATAATTATTAGTAGTTATATATATACTTCTAGCTTATTAAGATATACTATATAGTTATATAGTAGGCTTTCTTAAGCTTTAGTAAGCTTATACGTAGTAGAAGAATACTAAAAGCGCGTTAGATAGCTCTTTAATTAGGCTAGTAATTATTAATATAGAACACTATACTTACACGCTAATTATTTAAAATTAGACTTAGAAATAACGTACTTTACTATTAAACTATCTATACTATTAAACCGCCTAAAAATACTAAGCCTCTACTAAATACTACTATCTTATTTAGATTACTCTAACTCTAAGCTACTTAAGATAAATTTAGATAAGCTATCTAACTTATCTATATTATCTTTAACTACCTAGCACGTTTACGTATTATACTCTAGCTTACTATAGCGTCTATAGCGTTGCTAAGCTAGCTAGCTATTACGTACTACTACCTCTTCGCGCTACTTCTTACTTTTATTCTAATTTATAATCTTTCTTTAAGTAACTAGCTATAAGCTAGCTTTAATTATAAGAGTATTCTCTTTCTAAATTTACTTTTTTTTACGTAAATTACACTTCTTTTTCTATACGTTAGCTACTTAAAGCTAGGCGACTTTAGACTCTATAAGTACTAGCTAATATGCTATTAGCTTATTACCTTTCTTAAGCTAATTAAGTAACTTAATAATATAAGTTAGTAATAAATTAAGATACTATATAATCTTTCTCTAAATTAGAGTTAATTATAACTTTAATTTAGTAGAATTACTAGGTATTTTATACTTCTAGGTAGTAGTATTATTAGTAGAGAGTATTAGCGTA